GGGAGACCCCCGGTCGGGCGGTGTCACCGGGCGATCAGACCCCTGTCGCCTTCCCGCCGCGCTGCGGGGCGAGAGCAGCGCTGCTTCTCCCGCGGAGAACGGGAGGGAGCGAGCCGGGGCGGGCCGGGGTGCCAGCAGCGCCCGCCCAGCCCCAGAGCAAGCCGGAGGCCGGCATTTCTGGCTGCTGCTTCAGGGGGCTGCCAAATCCCGCTGCTTCGAGCTGGTTGTGTTTTAAATCTGTCCAGTATCTCGCCCTGAATGAAATCAAATGGACAAGGTGCTCAGGCACTGGAGAAATAGATCCGTGTCGGTTCAGTAACTGTGATTAGCTGGTGTTCAAACAATGCAATGACTCTGCTGTGTTCTCCTCTAACATCTACTTGGGCCTGTTGGAGCAAATGCTGCAGTTCCGGAGACTACAACTCTACTGTTAATGCATCCTGTGCACTGTAGTTATTCCGGTGACTGAACCTGTACACCTTATGAAAGGTGGGCTTGTTTAAATGCTGGAGGAAGATAGTCTGTTTAAGGATGGAACGATTAATATATTAATCATATATATATAAGCCCTTTAGTTTAAGGATCTAGTTGTTTCCATATTATGCAATAGACAGTAACTAATGTTGTGATTATATATGAAACTCACTATATAAACTTCCTGCTTCCAAATCTCTACAAATGTCCTGTCGCCTAGTCAGTAAGTCATGATAATTTGACTTGGATCCCAGTGATAATTTCCACCATGGAAATGGAATAGAGATAATGATTAGATACAAAATGTTGTCAAACATGCACAATGTTGAACTGGGAAGATGAATGTTTTGGATTGCCCTTGCTTTTTTTCTTTTCTTTTCTTTTTTTTTTTTTTTTTAATGCTTCCCCGATGTGGAATGTTCTTTCATGAAGCAGGAGACTAGAATATTTTCTTGACCCGTGTTACTACTATTACTCAATATCATGACCTTCATGGGATTGTCAAATGACAAAACACAGATCTGGGGGTGGAGAAAGGCTTCAAACTGACAAATGACACCAGTGGGCTATCTTGAATGCCAGTCAGGAGTACTTTTTGGAAAAGAATTTGGAAAAGTTCTCTGTAACACCTGAAGATAAATTCTATCATCTGCTTTATGTGTACGCCAAGTTATTTTTTTTCTTAGCCTAAAGGGATAACGCTAGTAGAACTAAAAGAGACACTGCAAGCTTTAAATTTATTCTCAAGCTGTTTTTACAAATATTTTTACAAGTTATTCTAACAAGGAATTTCTTACCCTAGATGCATTCATCAATGGTTTGTATACAGTCGGGGTCTTTTTCTGTCTACATGAGATATGTTTCCAGTGTTTGAGGATTCAGGTGCTCACACAAATAAATAAGAGGCCATGATTTTTTCCTTAATGTTTTTTAAAAAGTGTCTTGTGCCTGTCACTCTTTTCAATTCTTCTTGTATCCATCTCATTTTTTCTCAATTCATTTCAAAATACAGCATTGTTTTAAACCTGGCAGCATGATCAAACTATTATGAAAATAAAGTTATGTGGATTTGAGCAAAAAAGATACATCATCACTGAATTAAATCAGAACATGGGGTAGGGGAGAAGAGGGCAAAGTGTGCAGGGATCGGCTACAAGTCGCATCAGTCATTCAGATAATAATACATGTATCTGGAGAATTCTGTGCTGGAAACACATTGCCACAGTTAGAACAGAGACTTTGCTTTGAAATATTTTTAAGTCAAAATGTAATGTGGTGTTCTTTTTGCCTGGGTTATTTCCTTGGCTCTCTTATTATCTCTTGATCTTTTACTGTGTTAGTTGTTTTGCATACCTCTCTCACTGATCTCTCTGTACATTTTTTTCTCTAGTGCTTCCAACCATTTTCATCTTCATCAAGTCACCCATCAAAATCAAATTGTTGGTTACTTTGCACATGTGTACTCAGTAGTACAGTGCAACTGTTAACCTAGTCTTTTTAAGGCAGAAGACATACACTTTTGACCAGGTTAAAGATGTCTGGGTGAAAAACTGGCTGGTCCTCTGGGGCCAAAAGGTAGTGTCAACAGTTCAGAGTCTAAATTTACAATTACAGGTGGCCAATTTACAAGTGGTGTTCCACAGCAGTCAGTAGCCAGGGCTTATACCCCGGAGTACTTTCATCAACAGCCTGGAGGATGGGTTGGAATGCCCTCTCAAATTTGCAGATGACCACAGACCAGGGGGAGGAGTTGACTGGAATTCCAGTTGGAGAAGGGGCCTGGCAGAAGCTTCATGAAGTTCAACAAAATTTCACGCTTGGGACAGAAGGCTAAAAAGCAGCTTGGTGAAAAACAACCCAGATTCCTG